GTGATGGCAATCGAAGCTTTAACCCCATGCTGCTGCTCTTTAAATGCACTAAACAGGCAAATGCCTGGGCTGGCAAGTGCCGCCAGCTGGAGCAGGATCCATTTCCCATTCAATGCTGCGCACACACACACACATATGTATACACAGTCGAAACGAATTGAATTACCGCTGAATTCCTTTCTCAATTAAGTATATAGCCCCAGTTGAGTAAGAGCGTGTGTGTGTGTGTGTGCGGTCGAGTGGGTGTGTCTGCTATACTTTAAGCTTGAGCAGGCAAACACAGCAGCCAATTGAGGGCTACCAAAACGTGAAGCAAATATTGGCAGCAAGGATTAGAAGTGGGAAGTGAGCAACTGAAGGATCACAGCAGCCCAGCTCACTCACTTACTCACCTACACTCCCTTTCCCTCTCTCTCTCTTTCTCTCTCTCTCTCACACTCTCTCACTTTGTCGCTCCGTGGAGCTAATTAGATTGCGGGCAATAATATTGTACGAGGCTGTCGGGTTACCCAGTTAGTTGCTTGAGCGGGGGAGTCGCGCTGCCGGCTCGCGAATGCAATCCAAGCGACGTTTCTGCGCCACGATTGAGACCGCGACTTGCATACACATTGCCTTTTACACCCCCGCCCCGCCCACTCATGGAACATGTCGTCGGGCGTCTACACTTCCATGCAATTAGCATTTCCTGTTTGGTTGCTCTCACTCTCCACCTTCAACACTCACACACACACATACAACTACACACACACACACGCATGTGTGCTCGTATGCAATTACATTCAATAGCGTACAACACGCAGCCCAAAATCAGCCGCCATATGCATGCGAATATTACAGTATGCATATGAGTTGGCATCTCTGTGTGTGCGTGAGTGTGTGTGTGGGTGTGCGTGTGCTATAATTATAGCTAACTGGTGATATCCTCGTTGCTGATATATGCGAATACATGACAGCTGCGTGGCTGGCTACCAATGCAACTCTTTAATATATGAATGTGAATGCGGGTATGAATATGAGTATGAATATGAATGTGATACTGTAACTATTTGTGAATATGAGTAAGAGTATGGCAAGGATTATGACTATGAGTATGAGTTTGTGTCTATGGTAGTGAGTATGAATACGACTATAAACATGAATATAAATACGAATAGTATGAATCTGAATATAGATATGAATATGTGTGTTTATATCAATTTAAGCAGATATACATACATATATTGGAATATGTACAATATGAATAGTTGGATTGAAGATGAATATAACTATGAATATACATATCTGTTTATTTGACTATGAATATGAATGTGAATAAGAATATGAGTGTGTATGTGGGCATGAATGATTTACTACACAAAATATGAATATGAGTATAAATATATATATGAATATACTTATGATTATGAGTGTAATACATGTAAATATAATTATGAATATGAATGAATATATGAATAATATAGCTATGAATGTATCTATTTATTTAACTATGAAGATGATTATGAATATGAGTATAAATATATATATATTAATACAATTATGAGTATGAGTGTAAGTACAAATGTACATGTAAATATAATTATGAATATGAATGAATATATGAATATTAATACTAGCATTCGTGTGCACATCCAACTGAATATGAACAGTAAAATAAACATGTTTTTTTTTCACCTTATACTTTTCCATTAAAAGCTAAAAAAGTTTTATCAGCTCACACACACAAACGCACACCCACACACACACAAGTACGCATAGTGCATTATATACCCAGTTAGTCAAAAACCTGTGGAACAGTCACAACCGCAATTGGCTCTATTCACATCAACCAACAAATCAACGAAATGACCAAATGCACGGATTTCGTGTGGTTCCAGTTTTTAACGCCAAGAGCTAAAAGCAAAAAAAAAAGTAGAGCTGAAAGTCCATGTATTGCCCAGTGGGAAATGCATCACTGGCTGTGCAAATATGGAGTAAATGAAGCTGAAACTGCATTAAGGACTTTGCCAATAAACTCTAGTTGATTCAACCACATATGTGGATGAATATATAGAAATGACATTCTGTCTAATGTATACTTTTATGTAAAAGAAAAACAATTTATGCTAAATGATATCTCATGTTTTTATTATGTGTGTAAAAGTTTTGTTAACTTAAATTGCATTAAAAGCAGCTGAAATTCATTTGAAAAAATTATAATAATAATAATAAAAGGAAGAGTTGAACAATTTTCCACTGGGCAATGGACTTAATTCAGCTGAGCTTTCTCTCTGCACACAGACATAAACACCAACACATACACATACACACACAGATATACATATACATACACAGATAACTGGCAACTGCATCGTAATTGCACATTTTAATTTTGCATGGTTTTTAAGCCGAAGCGCTTAATTTCAGGATTTATGTGCATGCATTATAAATATCCTGCCCACCGATCCTATAGTAGATTTTAATTAGTTTGCCAGCATTTCGGATTCGTCGGCCGGCCGCTGGCCTCACATAATTTAAGCCGAGGCCCAGCACTCTAAATTGTGTTTTTCATAATTCATAAATCGTTCCTCAACGTGCTGATAGCTCTTGATGCCCGGCCACTAGTCACCGTCGCAGTCGCCATGGCCGATCCGCATCGCGTAGCGCACCTGAGAGTTTTCAGTTTAAGTGGAAACTATATGAGGCCGAAATGATGGACCATAAACGCAAAACGAGTACGAGGCGCATTAGAAAGTTAGGCTCTGGCCCAAGAATCCCACCGTTTAATGGATGCATATTCATAAAAGGATATATAGACTTCAAGTAGTCTCATCATGCAGCCATGAGATTTCACTTAACGGCTGACGCACATGCGAAACCAAAAGGGGTTTCCATTTCAGACCATCAACAGCTTGCTGTCTGTGTGTGCCGCATCTACTGCTCGGCTCCTGCTCCTGCTGCTGCTGCTGCTGCTCCAACTCCTGCTGCCATATAAATAAACATAATCGTGAAACAAGGCAAAGGCAACTAAAATGCTGCGGAATTTTAATAGTTCACGTAAATGGTTTTTGTGGCGTTGGTAATGTTTATTAACCAAGTTAAGCGCCGCTGCTCCGAAAAGGGACGACGCCTCGTCGGCCGGAGTCCTTCAGTGGAGCGTGTTTAATGCTCACTTAAGTTGCGTTTATACAAATTTCTTTGGCTCCAGCCACCAGGGCCAACGCCGCTGACACGCAGCCAGCTCGGCCAACCCCGAAATACCCTGTAACTTCGTCTCCTTCTTCTTTGCTTGTTGTTTTCTTTATCTTCTTCTTCTGCTCGTTTTTGGTTTGTTTGTGTGTGTGTAGTTTGTATCCTTCCGTTGCGTCCTGGAGCACAACTTTCTTTGTGCAGTGGCTTAAGGTATGTACGCCTTGTTCGCTGTCTTGACTGCCTGGCTAGCTGGCTGGCTGGCTGGCTGGCTGGCTGCTTGCTCCCAGCCAAGTTGTGCGTAAGTGGGTTCATTTATGCCCGAGAACAAATGCTTTGTTGTTTACATTCTTAGAAGTTTTGTATCTCACGTCTTGCCACGCTGGACGCGCAGTAAGCAACGATGCCACGTTCCAGCCAAGGTGCCTGGATAGCTAACCACTCAACTGGAAAAGACCTCGCTTCTGTCTCTATTCAAGTGTGAGTGTGTGTGTGAGAGAGACTCTCCGACTCAAATTTGGCTATCTTAAATGGACCAAATAGTAGACTTGTGCTTAGCTGCAGCCCCAAAACCATTTGACCTCAAGTTAAATTTAAGCCAACGTCGGCAATAAGTCTGCCACAGCAAAACCAAAGAATTATTCTTGTACAGCTTAGCTCGCTCAAGCAACTGAGACGCTCAGAATTTCAACGGATCTACGGCTTAAGCGCTACAAAAGAAAGTCAGCAAAGCAGCATAAAGACTATTCCAAACTAAATGCCAAGGCAAAGCAACTGCCGAACTTTTGTTCCATAAGACTTGAGCGATTCACAGCCATTGTATATAGTATATAGTACAATATTCCAAATTACCCAGTTAAAAACTTTTCTGAATGTACAATTTTTTAAATTTTATTCATCAATCACTTGTTCTCATATCAATTGTTATTAGCTAGGCAAAAAAAAAAAAATTGGGTCTCATCGTTTATAATTATCAACTAACATTAATACATTTATGTATGTTTACGTATACATATATATTGTAGGTATATATATATATATTTGTTTTTTTTTTTTTTTGCTTTTTTATTTTAAATTTAATTTTAGATCGTGATGTGATCTAGTGCGATAGTTTAAGTATCTGCAACCTGTTATAGACATATATATGCATATATCTATCTATCTATGTGTATATGTATATAGTATGTCCCATACAAATCAACGCTTATGCAAAATGCAAACAACTTTTCATTTCATTTAGTTCCAACAATTTGACTAAGCCGCTAAAAGTTGTGTAAAATCATATATTCATATATGTATATCGATAAGGAAACAATAAAAGTGCGAAATTAAAATCATTAAGGTGCGAAAATCGATTAAAAATTTATATACATTTAAGATAAACAAGAAATATGTTTGCTTAAAATTTATAGGATGGAAAAATTATATAAACAAAAAAAAATAATATATGAATGAAATTTGAGCAAAATTTGGCTCAGGCATTATTTTGCAACTTTTTAATCATATTTGATTATCATTATTATAATTACTTATATATTTTTATATATCATATATTTTGTTTCTTCTTTTTCTTTCTCTTTAACATAGAAAATTTTTTAAAACAATTAAACTATTTACAATTTAGGTTTTTGTTCAGATGTTTGCTTAGCATTTAGTGATATTTCATGTTTTGTGGCTAAGTACAGATACTAACAAACACTAACTAGTTAGTTAATACATAATATCAATTGAAATTTTTGCTTGAAATCAATTTTTGAAATTTTTCCAATTCCACATAATTTTGTTCATCCATTCATAATTTGTTTTTTTTTTTCTTTTATTTTTTATTTTTTCTTTCAAAAGCTTCTCGCAATTGTATCTAATTATTTATAAACATCATCAGTCTTGAACTTAACATAGTTTCATTATATATTTTTTTATGCTTACTTTGTTGTTGTCTAATGTGATTTTGTCACCAATTTAGCCATTGGACTTATGATTTGTAACGTCTTTTGTGAATAAGGAGTAAATAGATGTGTTTTTGTTGGGCCACTTCCCAATAAGCAGCTACATACATATATGTAGATACATATATATATATATATATATATAGATAGCATATACATTTATATGTGTATGTGTGTGTGTGTGTTTATATATATGTATATATAGTCAAGTGCTTAGGTCGTGGCGAGCCGCTGCTGTAAAACCCTATACACTACAATTTAAAGTTCAAGGCACGATTTCAAAAGTGTTTTCCTTTTTTTTTTTTTTGTTTTTTTTTTTTCTTTGTTTTTTGTACACTAGCCATACGAAAGTGTGTGTGTATATATATGTGTGGGTGCTATTTGATAGGGCATATGTAAATAGTTGATAAGGGCATACATATATCAAAAATAACCGTATAATATAGACTAACGAAATATACATTCGTATATTAGGGGCAACTATAAAGTACAGAATACTATCAAATTATTGGTAAAAAAAATACAGAATACAGAATACAAAAATGAAAATGATAAAACTTTTCTATAATACACAAAAAGACCAAATCGAGCTCTGGGCTAGACTAGGCTAGGGGGGGACGGGTTCTAGTTTTGGATTTGAGTTCAGATGCGGGCTCGGTAGCTTTTAAGGTTTCTATTGCGGCAAGGAACTCACTCTCCCTATATCTCTCACTCTCTCTCTCTCTCTCTCTCTCTCGCTCTGTCTGTCTCTTTCGGATTTGCTTTCTCACTAGACGAAAAACTCCTCGTTGCCCATCGCTCCAGCTGCCGCCGGATCCACGTAGGGCGCCACAGGCAGCCAGGGCCATGACCAGCCGCCGAGAAGCGCGAATCACCGTTCCGTGGAATGCGTTGTGGCGCCACCACCAAGTCCGCTGCTGCTGCCCCCAAAGCCAGGACCGCCGCTGCGCCTGAAGAAGCCCAGCGTCTCGAGCGTCTTAATGGTGCGTCGGATTAGCTCGTCCTTGTACTTCCAAATGGTCTTGTCCTCGACCGAATTCTCGCGATACTCCTCGCAGCTCTTCTTCAGCGTCTTCACACAGTCGGCGCGGTAGTGCTGCAGCTGTGCATCCTCTGTATCCACCGGATACGATTTGCACACGCCGCCCAGGCAGCTCAGCGGAAAGTGATTATGCAGCGTGAGCACACGTTCCGGATCGTGGAAGCACTTCACATACTGATTGGGCTTCGTGTAGTTCTTGGCACGGTGCACATGCTGCAGCATGTGCATGTACTTGGGTATGTCCTTGTGCCAGCCGTGCTCGTGCTGCTGATCGTCCAGGAAGTAGACATTGCGAAAATTGTAGCTATGATAGCCGTCCGGCTTGAATTTGAGCGACTCCGGGCGAGCCTTGTCCATCAGCTCGGACCACAGAATCGAATTGCCCTTGGGCATAATCACTTCGTCGATGTCCAGCAGCGCTATATAGTCGTACAAATAGAGGTTCTTATACAGGCAGTCATTGTACGGAATGACCTCGTTCTGTCGCTTGTGGTTGGTCTTCTTCGTCAGGTAGAGATGCTGGAAGCCGGGCACATTGGGCTGGCCGCCCGGCAAGGTCAGTGGTATCACTTGCACCTTGCCCTCCTGCTCGTAGTGGTTGAGCACCTTGGTAATATTGGGATGCACTTGCAGATTATAAAAGTAGATTTTGTCGGCGCCCAAGATGTTCAGCATTTCGATCCACTCGATTAGCCGCACGCTCAGATCGTCGTACAGAAAGTCCAGGCCCTTGACACAGACGGCGAAACCCTTCTTGTGATCGTCAGGCGGCCGATTGTAGATGACGCGCAAATTGTTGGTGGCCGTGTCGCATTCCTTCTCCACCATCGACACGGAGCTGGGCACCACGCCGTGGAAGGGCTTGGGTATCTGGCAGGCGATCAGGTACGGCTGATAGATGCCCTGCTTGTAGTTGCCCCACTTGTTGTACCAGATGTACTTGTACTCGAATGTCTTCACAATGAACGGCTCCTTCTGGCCGTCGAACCAGAACTGGCAGTAGGTCTTCACCTTGGGCTCGATGCGATCGATCATGCCCAGAATGCGCACGGTCGGCCCCAGCAGCGAGGCGCGCCGAATGTCATAGTAGGCGCCAAAGAGCTGAAATGTCCCGTTCGATGTGTGCATCGTTTGCCAATAGATGTTGTTGAACTCCAGCTCAAAGATCGATGGGTATTTGGCGCACGTAGCGGACTTTTGCTGCAGAAAGTTCTTGTTCTTGCTCCAGTAGGCAATTGGCAGCGATGGTATTCTGGACTCCACGTCGCGCACCAGCTGATCATCGTCCATTGCTGCAGAAGAGGAAGCGGGTGGGGAGAATAAGCGGAGTAAGTAAATGTTGTCACGATCTAACACTCACCTGTGCGATTGTCGACGAGTATCTCGCTGGGATCAAAGTGATCCGTGGTGGTGGACGTTGTCTCCGCATAGCGCAGCATATCCTTCTGGAGCAGGCTGCGGCCGTTGAGCGGCAGCTGCTGGTACTCCTGCGGCACCTGGCGATAGTCCTGCGGCACCAGGTTCGTGCCGTGCATCTTGAACAGGCCAATGATCACAAAGGACCAAACGCAGAGCGAGAACAGAATCTTTAGTATGACCTTCGAGTGCGCCATTGTTGCGAGCGGCTTTGCTTTAGCTTTGTCTAATGAGATATCTAGTTATTCTCCTCCTTCTCTCTCTCTTGCGAGAGATAGCTTTGGCTTCTTGTGTGTCGTCTCTGCAATGAAATAAATCGAGTAGTGGAAGTTAGGCGCCAAGCAATCTACAAATTGTTGCCTACTTTCGGGTGCCGCAACTAAAATTGATGCCACGCGGTGTCAGTGGCAAATTACTTTGCATTTCTTATCGACAGCGACAACGACCAACCCACCACCCCCCCACCACCATTCGCCGACTCCCCGCCTTCTCTAATGAAATGCCGTCATTCATTTTTAATATGTCGGCCAGCCGCGCAGCCATTTCCGTTTCCCTGCCCAGCCCCAGACGCCGCCGAATGTCAACTTGGAAATTGCGTGTAATATTTCTCACAGCGCACGGCAAACAGCCTCAAACCGGGCCGGTCCATCCGGCCAGAGATGGACTGCTGACGGCGGCCGCCGAGTCTCTAATGGAAAACAATCTGAGAGTGCGACACAGTGGGCGGCGTGGGCCAAGTAGTTGCGCACAAAGTGCCAGGCCATCAATTTATCGATAAGTGTGACCAATCAAATTGGACAAGTCATCAACGAGTATATGAGTAGATATGTATATAAATATTGCTTGATAAATAGCTACAGCTACACCATTTGAGCTATTTGTCCTCTATTTTAAAAATATAATGTATACGTATATGCTAAATAGGTATTTCTTTCAGTAAAAATATTTTTCATAATAAATAAAATATTTTTCATAATATTTTATGGTTATTATTATTACATTTTTTATTTTTAAAATTATTATTAAGATGAGTAATATTAAATTTTGCATTTTTTGTTTAATTTTTTGCTGTAACTAATAAAATATATTTTTTTATATATTTCATATTGACTAATTTTTTTTTAATATTTCATTTTCATTGTTTTTAAGTTTTTTTTAATGATTAAAGATATATTTGTATATTTGTTTATTTTTGTATACTTATATTTTTTTTAAATATGTACATTTTTTAAAATTATTTTTGTTTTTATAATTTTTTTTTATTAAAAAAAAACGAAAAAAAAAAAAAACAGCCCCTCTATCACCTTTAGTAGCATCTGAAATAAGTTCAATTCATACTAAGGATCTAAGGAATAAGTTCATTGATTTAGGGTAAGATAAGCTTGATCGATAGCAATGCCTTAATAGTTTTAAAATGCTTTAATCGATAGGCTAAATCTAGATTAATCGATATCAATGCCTTGGTGGATAGATTTCACATTTAAAAGTTAGTTTGATGCACACCCATTGTGCCTCTGAATTATCATTTGCATGTTGTCACTGACACTGGTCAGCTAGGAACACACAGCTGCCAGACTCTTTGCCGTAGAAGCCAAAGCAATCCCCTAGTCAAGGGGTTGCAGTTGCCACAACAAATGGGGGTGGCAGCCACCGCCATGCAGCGTTGCCATCTCCATTTCCATCTGCGCTACGGACGATGCGATACGACACTTCAGGCGACAATCTGTTTGTCTATCTGGGCCTTTGCATCTTTGTATGGGCCAGGCAGCGACGCAGTCGACAACAGCGTCGACGTCGGCGTCGGCGTCGGCGTCGATGTTGGCGTAGGCGTTATGTCTGAGGGCAAACTTGTAATATTTATGAGAATAGCAGGAGCTATGCCGCATCAGATGCGGCACTTGCGTGCCGACGCTGACCTGCCTCGAGGCGTTTGCGATGCGATAAACAAAAGGCGTGCCCCTGGATTGCAGCTGCCCTGCCGTGCCCTGGGCCGCACATTCATAGCTCAATTTTGTCTACAAATTGCACGTGGTGGGCCGTGTCTGTGGCAAATGGATGACAATGGCCGCTGTCTGACATGCGAGCTGCCACAGTGGCAGACAAACGGGCGACACTTTTAACTCGATCCGCCGCTTCCCCTTCGGCCACACTCTGGCGAAACTCTCACTGGCATTCCCATTTCTACTCCTACTCTCACTAGCATTGCTATTCTTGTGGCTGTCCGTTACGTTCCGTGCCGTCTGCGCTTTTCAATTGACAGACAGGACCTGTGACTGTGTGCATCCGCATGTCCAAGTCTTTGGCCAGCAAATTGCATGTCCAGTTCATTCCGTTGGCCGTCACTGCGCCCCGTGAGCCCCTCAGGCTACTGTATAGTTTGTTGGCCCTATGTTGGCTTAAGCAGCTCCATCTCATTCTCTCTGGCCTCTCAAGCCCCTCGCCCCTCGCGCTGCCTCGCTCCCACTGCCCCATGTCTGGCGAGAGTTCTGGCACACCTGAGACTTCATTATGATTGCCGGCCTGTGGGATTGGCCATTCGTAAAAGGCAACAGCAGGCACTTAAAACCCTTTTCAATGCCCCGACCGCCCGCAGCTTTAATGCAATTTTTACATAATCAAAAACTTTGTGCAACATTTGCTGCAGCCCAAAATCAGGCAAATGCAAACACACACATACAGACAGACAGACAGAGAGAGAGAGAAAGAGTGGGAGACAGGCAGATAGAGAGAAAGACAGACAGATAGACGTGGTCCCTGAGCCAGGTCGCATTCTGGCAGCTTAGAGTTTTTGCTCAAGTGTTTTCCATTTCATTTGCATGCGCCGCAAAAACTTTGCCCAGCAAACACAAAAATACACACACACACACATAGACAGACAGACAGACAGTTGAAGAGTTAGTGAACATTATACAAAATATTTTGCAACATGCTTTCAACAAGCTGCTTTTATTTTTTTGTACTTTTATTTTTGGCAACAAACACATCCTCCTCGAGCCAGTTGCCTGCAGGGTTCGTGAAATATGCAGGGACTACCTATCTGAAACTCTATCTGGACCAGTGCAAATGTACATAAGTGTATATATTTCTATATATACATGTAAATACAGCAGTATATATCTGTGTATGTGTGCGTGTGTGTGTGTCTGAAGTTGTTATAAATCTCTGATGATTTGCACTCAACTCATCGCAGCTGCATTCAGAGTTAAAGTCAACAGTTGTAGCCCTCTGTGGAGATAGAGCACCGCCCCGGGCTCTACGGGCTATGTGGAATTTGTGTGTGTGTGTGTGTGTGTGTGTGTGTGTGTGCAACCTGAGACCAACTTGACAGGGTAAGTATGTACATATGTATTTATCTGCTTAGTTTATATGTTTAAAGTCTAAGGCCGAGTAGGTCAAAACACAAATTCCTGGTCAGTGTCTAAGGGCACTCTTATACGAAATTCTTATTATACGAGGAATATATGTATAAACAAATTTTAAAAATCTAAGATTAAGTCGTTAAGACACTATCTTAAGCTATTTTACTACTGCTTCACCTACTACAATTATTATTACTACTCGCGCTTTTGCTACTACTTCAACTATTACGATTCTGTATACTACTATTATTCCAATTACTATTACTACTAATAATATTATTACTATTCCTTCAACAACTGCAGTTCGGATTACTACTACTATTCTTATTACTACTACTACTTTAACTACTACGATTCTGATTACTACTACTATTCAACTATTACTATACTTATCATTACTATTTCTACTACTTCAACTACTATTGCTACTACTATTCGTATTACTAGTACTACTACTACTTCAACTAATACGATTCTGATTACTACTATAATTCTTATTGCTAATATTAGTAGGAATCGTAGAAGAAGAGTAGAAGTAGTAATTCTTCTTTTCCGATTGCTTCTATATAAACTACTGCTATTTTTATTAATACTACAACTACCTAATCTACTACTACTACTTTTAGTACTACTACTTAATCTACTACTACTACTTTTAGTACTACTACTTAATCTACTACTACTACATTTAGTAATAGTAGTAGTTGTAGTAGTTCAGTAGTAAAAATCGCAACTCTTATTACTGCTACTATTTCCATTACTACTCCTACTTCTACTAATCTATGCGGATTCCCTACATGAAACACCTTCACACTAAAAATCTCTCATTGAAAGCTTAAAATAAAGAAACGAAAGGCCAAGTTCTATTCATAAATACAAATTTGACTCCCATTAGCAGCACTTGGCAAAGAACTCCTCGCTTTCGCCTGTCACAATTTGCAGCTGATGCTGATTGAATTTGAAAGACATGGCAAATAGCGCGCAGATATTTGTTTTTCAGCGCAAGCCCGGCACAGTAGTTGGGCCTGGCCAGGTAGGTGGCTCATTAATCAGAGTCGCTCGGTGCACACTTAACCCAAATTCATATCGAGTCACAACATGTCAGGCATTAGCATTTACAAGCCAGAGTTGCCCCATTTCTAGTGATGGACTTTCTCGCGCTGTGTTCTGTAAATCGCTTTGATATTTCAGGCACAGTGTTAACACCCGAACGATTTGGGTCAATTCGCTATTTAATACTCGTTACGGTTATGCCAATTTTTCTCTACTTTTTTGTTTTTTGTTTTTTTTTTTTTTTGGCTGCCACAAAATATTTGCGCCAAACAGCAGCAGCAGCAGCAGCAGCAAATGTTTGTGTTGTTGCTGCTAATTTGCTAAGCAAAACAGGTTCGATCTTGAATGCGGCTTGTGGCAATGTGTCGCGCCCAAAAAGTCCGCCAACTTGTCGCTCGGCCATTGAGAACATTGAATGTCTATGCATAATACATGTACGTATATATATTTCTCTCTCTCTCTTTCTCTATGCGCGTGTCTGTCTGTTTGTGAATATTTTAATGATGCCCAACTATTCAACTACTTATTCAACTATTCAACCGCACAGCAGAAACAACAACGAAATGGGTCAATGAGCCTTAATGACTTTTACAATTTCTAGACGCGTTCGCCTCGTACTCCGGTCTCCGGACAGCGTCCAACAATTAAAAATGCTTAGCTCGCTCTGCTCTTGGATTCGATAAGCTGCCGCAGCCATTGCCATTGCCCGTTGTTGCTGCTGGCGCGTCCATTGATCTCCACTTGGTGGCTGCTGCTGAGCTAACGGAAATGTGTGTTGCGCACGCGCAAAAGCCACCAAACAAGTTCTAACTCCAGATACGTGTCTATCTCAATGAGTGTGTGTGTG